CGACCTCCAAAGCCGTTATTGTGAAATTTGTTTCCATCATCAGAATGATAACCTACCGAATGATCATTCCAACCAGGCAATCTATTTAATTGAAAAATTTTTTTTAATATATTTGATTATTTTTACCAAAGATAATTGAGTCTTACCTGAAATTTGGATATGGTTTTGTTGCTAGTCCAACAGCAATTGTAGTATCCTTTAAGTTAGGATTTGATAGTATAGTCACTTCAAAGTAATAGAACCAAGTATCTGTAGTTTTATTATTTAACGAAGAACTTTTATGATAATTTTGCTCTGATTGATTATCACTATGCATTAATTTAGTCTCAGAAGTTTCATCACGCTGTGGACGGAAATGGGGATAATTTGCTTGTACCATAACATCATCTTTTCCATGGAAAGATATAATGCGCCCTTTATTTGACACGATTACATTATTAGATGCGGCACGTTCCTCAGGAATTATCATTTCCCAACCCTTTGGGCCAGATAACAAAATGTGTTCAGTGTCATCTTGTGATGGTAATACCTCTTGAGGTGGATTTTTATGCGTAAATTGTATTGCAGCTTTGTATGCTTTGTATGAGGCTTCATGCATCAATCCATGGAAATAGGGTATTTCCGGCGTTACGCTTGCATAATCTGGTGGAGGATTTTGTATTTCGGTTTGAGGTCGAATATTATGACTTGCGGGCATGGTACTTTCAAGATCAATGGGCTTGCGTAATTTCCCATTATTTTTTTTGCGACATTTTCTTATAATACATCCTCGGTTACTACATAAAGCGAATGCAAATGCTACAAATACAAATATTGCAAATACTGAAAAAAAAAGAACGGGCCAAAAAAAACCAGGAACAGAATTTCCACTATCACCTATAAATTTATTTTAAGAATTAATTAAATAAGAAGTAGCGAAGAAAAGAAAAAAAAGTGAAAAAAAAGCAATAATCTTACTACTCCCAGTGTCATCATCAGCACCAGTACCACCAACAATAACACTACTACTACTACCATAACTACTACCACTTCCACCACTTTTACCACCACTATTGCTGCCACCACCGCTACTGCTGCCACCGCCACTACCGCTGCCACCACCACCTTTAGAGAGTACTAAAAGTGGATGGAAAAGTAAAGCCAAAAGTACAAATCGAATCATTGATAGTTTAAGTCAATATAATGAAATGGCAAAATATTTTGTTACTTCAAGAGCAATGACCTTGATAACATGGATTAATATTGTAAAAACGAATTTAAAAAAGATCGGTTTGAATGGTTATTAAATATTTATACAAAAAGAATTTTATACTGTGAATTAATATTGTGGAATTTGTTGTGAGATGGTGAATTCCGTTAGTGGGACATTCGGCTCAAGAATGATAAACAGGTTGAAAAGCCATATTGGGATTGTAAATATAAGCTAAAATCGGATATAACCATACCAGAGTAATATCATTAAGAATTTATCATTGATAGAAATATCGGATATCACACCAGCCGCGCTTTGACTCGTAAAAAAAATACTGATTCAATCCATTATAATGATTTATTTATCTACGTCCAAAATTTTAGGTTACACATAAATATTCTTTAATAACTTTTATAAGGAAATTAGATAGCTGCGCTCTAAAACCAGGAACGTTATATGGTGCCGGAAGCTTATACCCGACAATCATGTGAAATGGTTCAATTTTCGCGTGACTGGTGTGAGCCGCAGAACTGTACTCTGGGAGCACGTGAACAAAGCGGCGCAGAAGGTGCCTCACAAAAATGTGCGGCAGATCCTCGATTTTGATTGGCTAACGGCCGAGGATCTTCAAATTTTGGCCCGCATTACATAATTGTTTCTAATTTCCGGCCGGAATTAACTTTTTGATTTTTTTCATTACAAGCCCACGTTATAGTAAAATTGGCCCAGGAACAATTTTCACTTAATGGGTTACTGCGATTTTATTGGTAAAATTATGAGTAACTCCGGCCTAATTTTTTGATTGTCGCTCTTAGCCAATCAAAATCGAGGATCTGTCGTGCATTTTTTGTGCGGCCCTAGGTTCAATACCTTAACGGCTATGAAGATCATTTACCAAAAATGGATTTTCCGGTAATAAAAGTGGAAAAGGTGGATGCTAATAAGGGAACAAAGGATAAATAAGATATCGGTGAATTATATAGGTAGAGGATAATATTAAGATTAATTAGCTTATATACGATAAATAGATGAAAAGAGCATAGCGGGCTTTCTCTGTGATTGGCTAATATTTTGTAGATCATTTCGTGATCTTCATGAATTTTATTGGTTAATAAAATAGGAGGTTTGTGTAACCATATTGGTGACGAAAAAAATTTTGTTCATCAAACTTCAATCACCTATCATTAATATAGCACTAGTACTATAGTAAGAAAAATAAAAAAATGTCTGCACAAGAAAAATGTTATGAAACCAACCCTAATGCGAAAAAAAGAAAAAGAAAGGCTCGTTACTGCGATTTGGAGGGTCTTGATAACGTTGTTTGCAATTACGATCTCCATGATGCTTCAACCATCACAAATCAAATAGTTATACCTGCCTCAAGCCAACATTTGGATTAAGTTAAAAAAGCCTTATGCCGAAAACATTACAATAAATATATTGTAAATGCAAAGAAAAAGAAGACTAAACTAACTAACTT